ATATATATATATATATATATATATATATATGTATATATATATATGTATACGTATATATATATATGTATACGTATATATATATATATATATATATATATAAATATATATATATACTTTTTAAGTCATGTATCATGCATAGGAATGTTGACGCCTGCAAGGCTCTGGTAATTGAATTTTGAGCTTATACTCAATAAAATATAGTAATATATGATAGTAAATTATGGATACTAATTAATAAAATGATTTCTATTGTTTTTGTATCTTCTAGAGCACTTATATCTCATCTTCAAACCTGTGGCTGTACAATAGTTGTTGGTAACACAGTAGATGAAGTGAATCTTGTGTGTAATATTTAAAATCATTTTCATTCACATCACTTCATTTAAAAAATAGAACTATAATGGTATTTTGTTGTGACTGCAAGGCGATAAATTTGTACACGCTTGCCCTTGTACTTACATTTTAGCTAGTACACGCGTCGCAAACCTCTGACTGTCCTGCATGACAAAACCTCCAGAAAGTTGACTTTTTCACAACTTGGGACCCCTGATTAAACCTTTTTAGTGTGAAATGATTCATTTTCTACTCTGGGTGTGATAACATTGTATTTCATACGTTGTTTCTTGCTTCAGATGTTGAAAACATTGGCTATGTTTCTGCCTCAACGTGATAGACACTGTTGTCGACTGGCCATTGATAGCAACCTGTATCCATATCACCCTGATATACTTTTACAAGGTTTCATAAGTGTTAGTATTGTGCACATTTTATATATAATAAAATAAAAATGACTTTAATTTAATACGGAAATCTTGATCACAAATTAATTGCGTTTTTCACAAGGCTCTTTAAAAGTATATATTAACATAATTTAAAATTACAGAATCAATTATAAGACTAAAGAAAAAACTTAAATAATCAAGAACAAAACATAATTAAAGAAGTAAAAAAGAAACAAAATGTATATTATCTTATGCAAGAAACTTTCAATTATAGTTTGGTTTCCTTGATAAGATTCATTTTTTATGATTATCACTACTGTACTACAGTGGCAGACTGTAGGGTAAATTGCAGGGTATGCTATGTATTGGCATATCTAGGATGTGAGAGGGTTGCGCACACCCCTCCCCCTGATAAAAATACTCGCCCATCCACCGCCCACAAATCATGCTCAAGTAGTTAAAAATCACCTCAAATCATGATTCATTTTCTACTCTGGGTGTGATAACATTGTATTTCATACGTTGTTTCTTGCTTCAGATGTTGAAAACATTGGCTATGTTTCTGCCTCAACGTGATAGACACTGTTGTCGACTGGCCATTGATAGCAACCTGTATCCATATCACCCTGATATACTTTTACAAGGTTTCATAAGTGTTAGTATTGTGCACATTTTATATATAATAAAATAAAAATGACTTTAATTTAATACGGAAATCTTGATCACAAATTAATTGCGTTTTTCACAAGGCTCTTTAAAAGTATATATTAACATAATTTAAAATTACAGAATCAATTATAAGACTAAAGAAAAAACTTAAATAATCAAGAACAAAACATAATTAAAGAAGTAAAAAAGAAACAAAATGTATATTATCTTATGCAAGAAACTTTCAATTATAGTTTGGTTTCCTTGATAAGATTCATTTTCTATGATTATCACTACTGTACTACAGTGGCAGACTGTAGGGTAAATTGCAGGGTATGCTATGTATTGGCATATCTAGGATGTGAGAGGGTTGCGCACACCCCTCCCCCTGATAAAAATACTCGCCCATCCACCGCCCACAAATCATGCTCAAGTAGTTAAAAATCACCTCAAATCACATTATTTTGCGAGTTAGCCCCCTCACCTAATCACAGATCCCCACTTTACCTTCCCACCACATCTGCTCCCTTCCATTTCAAGACCCCTATGGCACTGATGCTAGGGCTTGCTAGTATGAAAAGTTTGTAAGCCTACTACTATACAGGATCAGATTGCGCTATAGCCAAAATACAAATGTATGTTATTTTTAATACCGGCATGGTTGTATTATCTTATTTTCAAAATAATTCCTATTCCTCTATTTTAACATATTTCAATTCAAATAATAATAATTCAAAGTTTCTTCTATACCGGTTATATGCATGCAAATTTATTTAAACTTTAATCATTGAGATTAGGCATATAGATAGTATACCCGATCAGCAGTGAAGATCCTGATTTGCGAGAAGAGCATGCGCACATATTCTTGGAAGCACTGCTTCCATTCCAGAGTTAAATTGGCTATTCTGACGCCACCACACGGTTGTCACAATAGCAATTTAAGTGTTGTAGGGTATGCTCTGATTTCCACTCACTGAATACGTGATTGGTTGATATTGAAAACCAGCCATGCGGAAATTCTAAGCAGCTGAGAGTACGATGTGATAGGCACGAATGTGACTTATCCTAGATACCAAAGTAGGCCAAACATTGAAAAAGTTTGCTTTCCAATAAAATACAGCAATCCACTCGAAAAATTAAGGTTTATATAGAAGATTGTGGCTAAGAAATGTTAAATCAAACGCAGAAACTGTACTACTATTCTTATTTGTTTTAGCCAGGGTATGCACTGCATACCTTGCTTGCCTTGACAGTCCGCCACTGCTGTACTACAGTATTATAGGATCATTTATTTTTATTCAGAGGGTGGCTAATATTGTTGTTGTTAAAGTAGTTTAGTATTATAGTAATCAATCATAGTAAAGATCTTGATCCCACTCTTGTCTGCTACTCGCATATATGCCTGCATTGCTTGATCTTAAGTTGCTCTTAATTTAGTTCCAACTCTTGTGTTTTTTTATCAAAGTGGAAGGCCTTTCTAATTTAGTCTTCACTCTTGCCTGTGCTACTAACGTATAATGCCTCTGTATTTCTCATTCTTATTTATTGTCTTTCTTTACAGATATTTCTTTTACCACCTACAAGAGGTGTCAGGGAAAGTTACAAGATGTGTATAAGAGACAGGGGTATGCACTGCATACCTTGCTTGCCTTGACAGTCCGCCACTGCTGTACTACAGTATTATAGGATCATTTATTTTTATTCAGAGGGTGGCTAATATTGTTGTTGTTAAAGTAGTTTAGTATTATAGTAATCAATCATAGTAAAGATCTTGATCCCACTCTTGTCTGCTACTCGCATATATGCCTGCATTCCTTGATCTTAAGTTGCTCTTAATTTAGTTCCAACTCTTGTGTTTTTTTATTAAAGTGGAAGGCCTTTCTAATTTAGTCTTCACTCTTGCCTGTGCTACTAACGTATAATGCCTCTGTATTTCTCATTCTTATTTATTGTCACTTTCTGTTAGTACAAAGCATCTCTGTCTGTGCTACATTTATCTTCAATCAATCAATTAATCACTCACTCAATTAATCAATAAATAAATGAATAAATCAATCAGTTTTTCAATCAATTAATTGATTCTCTTTCCTACTACAGAACCAAGATTGCCAATTCAGTATCTCAACATTTATGAAAGAAATGATGATATGCCGATATCCTACAACCTTAGTTAACCTTTGTGCCTTAGAAGTTAGGCAAATGCCTCAGTGTCATGAACATTCAAGAAGGTATGTATTCTTAATTGTAGTGTTAATAAAAATTACATTTGTGCAATGTAGAAAGGTTATGTTTTTGGAATTTTTTCATTAAACCAATTCAACTTAATATAAAACAATAAAATAATTTATCTGTAGGATCCAAAAATTTACTATTAAAATTAAATAAGTATTATTGTATTAAATAAGATTTGTATATGTTGGGTAAAGTCTATGAATTTGTTGCTATTCACTTCATGTTATTTAATTGAAATATAATTATGCCAATTAAAGAATTTTTTTTTTTTTTTAATGTTTCAGGAGACATGATGTCCTGCAGCATGAAGTGAGCAATTTGTGGGATGAGAGACCCAACACCTGGTTTCCTATTTTGTAAGTACATTTATACCCTTTTACACAGAAATTATACATTTTAGGCTTCCATTACATAATACACATTTCACATTTAAATGTGTGTAGTTCAGTTCAATTCAATCTTTATTCATTTCATGATAAAAAAAAGGAAAAACAATAAAGTAGATACAGTGGCGGATCTAGGATTTAGCAATGGGGGGTGGATAGTGCGAGGTGAGGTGCGAAGCACCAATTGGGGTGGGGGTGATATGGTTTTTGCAAGAGTACAGATGTGCTTTGAAACTTCAGGGCCACCGTGGTTGGGTCTGAGGTGAGAAAATTTCAGGAAATAGTACCACTTGGTGGCTGGAAATTCATCATCATCACATCACCATGGTCAAAATGAAACACCAACAAACTTTTCACCATTTTCACATGATCTTTTATCAGCGATTTTCAGAAACCATTGAAATCTAATAATATGTGTGATGTACCATAGAAAATAAAACCTAAAACATTGTACCTGTAGATGCCTGGAAATGACACTTTTATATAGTACAATACATCATCACATCACGATTATATATTATCAAAACGAAGCGCCAACAAATTTTCCATGATGTTTTACCAGATGATTTTCCGCAACCATAGGGATGTAATTAATTGTAATTAATATGTGTGATGTACCATAGAAAATAAAACTTAAAAAGACTGTCTTTGATGTATTACTAACTTGAAAGCCGTGAGTTCATATCCACCTCAGCACCACCATGGTTTAGGCTGAGGTGGGAACATTTGAGGAAATAGTACCTCTAGAGGCCCAGAAATGACACTTTTATATAGTAAAATTCATCATCACATCACCAATATATAGTCAAAATGCAGTGCCAACAAATTTCTAATGTTTTACTAGCCATTTTCGGCAACCATAGAGATGTAATTACTATGTGTGATGCATCATAGAAAGTGAAACTTAAAAACATTGTCTTTAATGTATATTTACCTATTCAAAGCCGTAGGTCCACATCTTAGTTGGGGCTGATTTGGGAAAATAGGACTCTCTAGATGAGAAATGACACTCTTTATCATAATTCATCATCATCGATTTAATTAATAGCTGTGATGTTCCATAGAAAATAAAACTAAATTGTCTTTGAGGTATTTAATTTACTTTACCTACTTCATCTGCCGAAAACCAATCTTATTATTATTATTAACTATTATTGTTATCACATGCTTTTTCTCATACTTCTCAAATTATAAT